TCGGGTACACATTGGTTAGGTACAGGTGGCTTTATGGACGGTATTCGTTCGCTACATTGACAAACGAAAATAACCGCGTCCCGCGCTTGTCTGCGCGTTCGCGTTTCAGGGCGTGACTCGTTTTCGTCCGGCTTTCCATTTTTTCGCCCACGTCTTCTCTTTTTGCCTGAATACGATGAAGAAATCTGTCCCGATAAATTAATAATTACCGCCCGTTTTCGGCCCGCGGTTTCACGTCCGACTTTTCGGGAACCGCGAGCCTCGGTAAAATAATAATTATATTTCCGTTCGACGTTTGCTTACTTAATAGTTTGTATTGCTATTTACTCGCCGTAAGTATTTTTCACCGTTTGTTTACTTTGAAAGTGCATAATAATAAAATAATCGACGGGTCGAATAAACAAACCGAACGGTATTTATGTATTTTTATTGTGTTATAAAGTATATAAAAACCCGTTTGAATTATACGCGTAACAAGTCAAACAAAAACACAATAACTTTATGGCGATGGATAATACGCAAAGCAAGCCGCCTATTTTGCGTAAATTGTAAAAAAAAAACTACTTTAGCAATAATAATAAATAAATACACAATGCAATTAGTCCAGTGTTGAGAAGGAACGCGTTTCTTTTATGGCAACGGAGACTGGAGCGCGTTACCTTTGAAATAAATAGGGACGGCGGACGAGCAAGAGTTTATTTTTATGAGAAACGTGAACGAAAGTCTGTTCTTTTTTTTTCATCTTCGATTTTTAAATTTAACGTACATTATTAATGATTATAATAATAATAATGAAAAATATATACGATAGTAAAATGTAATATTAATATACCATAGAAATGACTAGTATTGGTGTCAATATCGTATTTAGATATTTTCAAATTAGGAATATTATAAAATAATTGGTATGAACTTTGTTTTAGATATTAATTTTTTATTAAAAGGAAAAAGGAACGGGTCAATTTTTTAAAAGGAACTTTTCCAAAACTGGAAATTATTATCAAACATATAAATAACACGCTAAGGCCGGTTTCTTCAAATGTCGAACGCGTAACCGTGTGAGCGAAATGAGTGCAATTATTACCGTTTGGCGAAAATAGGAAATTACTCTATTATCTTATTCGGACGAAAACAAAAAAACCAACCCTTTTCGGGATGAAAGGAGTTCTGTTCGTATTTCAGGAGAATGTCAGTGGTACTTAGTCCACGATATTGAAATCGGGCAGTATTTGGGTCAACAGTTTCCGTGAAAAATCTTTAGTATTCGAGAATATCAGCTTTAACTGCAAGCTTAAAAAAACGGACACACATCGTACGATTATTGAGCTACTATTGTAGATGAGAAGTTGGGAAGGTAGGATATAGAAGGGAATTTAATTTATAACCGTACGCAACGATGAACCATCGCTAACGAAAAACGATTCGGAGCGAAGCTTCTGTTATACGTGTACGTATATTTTTACTGTTTTTTCCGATTTTTTCAATTATTATTAAAATCTCTTAGAAAATCAAAAAAATGGCTTTTTTAAAGTATTACTGAGGTAAAATTTTCTCTCAGAAAATATACTACACTTGAAAATCGGTACAAGATTTCTAGTAGAAAATTTTTTCATAAAGATACAATAAATAAATAAAAAATAAACATCATTACAAAAACTAATACGATTCTCACTGTGCTCCGAATTTAAAATTCCAAAATCAGAATTTGAATGTACGCAAAATTTAACGATACAAACGCGATAAGCATGCTCGATGAATCACCCTGTACATTATATTTATATAATGAAGTATTGAAAAAAAAGAAACGTTTACTTTTTTTTTTTTTTGTTACATTATAGAAGAGGTGAATATTTCATATTTTAAGTTAATATATAATATCATTACAGGTGTACTCTTTTCGCGGTAATTTAATAACCAGACACGGGACGATCTTAATCGCATGTAACGTAATCATATTATAACATGTGGGTACCTCCTATAACACTATGCTAAATTTTTCAGTCAACTAAATTTTATGTTCAGGGCCTCCGTTTACATATATATTATATATAAAATAATACACGTGACGAGCGCGTAGTAACCAGTCTGAGGACGAGTATTATTATTATGAGATCCGCAGATAATGAGATGGAAATCTGATGTAGGTAAGGACGCATTTGGTTAGCGAGGAAAACAAATCGTGTACACGCGTGTTTTTAAATTATTAAAAATTATTAATTTAATTTAAAAAACGCCTAATAGGTACTTTAGGGTGGTCCTTGTTTTGACGGTTTTAATATTTCCTTCGGGACATCCGCTCACCTTGTGCCATATGATAAGGCGTTTTTCCATATGATTAATATTTAGTGGATGCGCATACGGCGTTTTAATATTAAATAAAAAGGGAACACAAATCGAAAAGGATTTGTTATTAAAACCTCAAAAATTAAACGGTTTTAATGAATATTAAAAGAAAAGACTGATTTCAGTAAAGTATTATTATAATAGATATGCAAAATATAGGGAAATAAATATGAATCCTAAAAACAGAATTGTTTTTAGGGAAGGAAATAATTTAAAACCTGCAGAAGTTATTTAACGTCACGATGCGTCAAGGTCAAGATATAGGTAGTTACTCATAAGATATATCAAAATAATAGAATTAACAGAAGGAATGAAATAGACATAAAATTCTCGAGCAATTCACATACATACAGAGTGATTCACTAAACGTATTCACCCCATTTTAGATTCCTAGTGTAGCGAGGGAGCTATTGGTTTTACAAAGATGTTTTATTTTTTCTTTCTTTCTTTGTTCTAGTCTATAGACACGTTTTTTTCTAGTAAACTTGCTCCGATTTCTAAGTGTAGCAACTTTTCTGAAAGCTCAAGTTGTCTAGATGGTACTTCAAAGAAGCTATTTTTTTGATTTTTGACGTCATTTTTTTAAATATAAGCACTTTAGTGAGAAAAAAACGTAGGAAAACGTACAATTTCACGATTTCATTATTTTATAAAAACACGGACGTAGAAATAATGATTTAATCAAAAAATCGCAAGAAACCTTGTTTGTTGCTTTTTTGATCTAATTTCTTACGGTATCAATGTCAAAAATTTTAACCCACTTTTGAGTTTTTAAGAAATTTTAATTTTTGGGAGACTTTTTACTGTTATTTGATTATAAATACACGTAAAGACTTGAAAACTGGTAATAATGCTTATATTGAACTTACCTAAACATGGTGAAATTTTCAAAATCATCGGATGACTTTTTTATTTTTAATATGCGTTTTAAAATCAAATTTAAACGAAAATCGCCAAAAAAATTAGGGCACTTCAAATTATGTATTACCGAACTGCGCTCGGAATCGTTTTTCGTCAGCAATGGTTTAACGTTGCTCACAAATATAAATTGAATAATCTTATGTATCCTCCCTTCCCAACTCTTCATCTACAACAATGACCGCTCCCATCCCCAGTATCAACTCTTTTTTATTTTTTTCATTTTTGTCATAATTCATATAAAAATATTGAATTTTGGACAGAAATTATATGCTTGCTTTTTATAGACATGGTAAAATTTTCAAATCATTTTAGCCACTTTTAAGGTTTTTATAAAAAAATTTAATTGTTTGTTAAAATTCAGTCAAAAATATTCGTATGGACTTTATATGGATTTAAAATTTGGACACATGAATTATATTTTTTTGATTAAATTGTGCATGTATTCAAATTCTGATTTCAGGAATTTTTTAAGTGTAAATTAAGCCGATATTTTCGAATACTTCGATTTTCCACAACATTTAAGGAGTATCCTGTGGCGATACCACTTTTAATTTTTCAATGATAACATGTAATAAAAAATCCATAAATCGACAGAGTATTAATTTAAATACATTGTGGTGTCAACGTTTTTGATTTCCGGCAACCCGTTAACGAGATATTCCATTTTTAAGTTTAGATAAAGTACATTTCCCCAGCACCGTCACATACGATTTTCGTTAATTTAATTTTGCTAACAATTAAGATTTATGCTTAAAATAATTTTGTTATTTTTATCTCTTTTATAATTTAACTGACATTTTTATACTATTATTTCGATTATATTAATATTATTATTATTACATGATCATTTTTAAATGTCTACTACATATCTCTAAACAATTTTATTTTATTTTTTAAAATAGTATAAGAGTAAAAGTTGATAACCTCAACTATTGATTAATTAAAAAAACAGTCCGTATTATAAATTTTTTTTCTTCTTATCGAAGCTATAATATTCATTTATATTTGTACCAGATTCCCAGCGTAGCGAGGGAGCTACTAGTTTTACTAAGATGTTTTTTCTTTCTTTGTTTTAGCCTGTGGACACGTTTTGGTCTAGTAAACTCTTTTTTTTTTTTTTGTTTCAATTTTGCATTATTGTACACATTAAGTTTTAAATGTAGAAAATAAATATATATTAAATTGTATATATTAGATACTTCATGTTTAATACAAATAAATTTATTTTAATGTTTAGATCGTTGTTTGGACTTGTAGGGGAGATCGTATTAATTCAAAAACTGGTATACAAATTTATACAAATCGCATACTAAATTTTAACAAACAAAATTGCGAAAACCATATATGGGGGTACTAGGGAACCATACGTTTAGGGGGAGAGTAGTGGAACACAAATAAATTGTCACCTGCCGTGTGGACACACAAATGATACTCCACTACTCTTCCCCTACATAAACTTAAAAGTGGAATATCTCGTTGACGGGTTGGTGGAAATCAAACATTTTAGCTCCAAAATTTATCTAAAGTAATACTTCATCTTTTTATAGAATTTTTAATATAAGTTCTCATTTGAAAAACCAAAGTTGATATCGCCACAAGATACTTGGCTTTACACTTAATTCCCAGAACTAGAATTTGAATATACGCAAAATTTAACGAAAAAAATTAGGTGAGCACGATTAGTGAATCACCCTGTTTATGAACAAAACTGATTTTAATAAAAATAAGTTAAATTATTAATTCCTTTTGTTCTCTTGCTCTTCGTGCAAAACGTATTTTCTATATCCCTTGTTAAGCTGCTCCATGAACACAAACAATAAAACAGTAGCCGGAGCGATTCGTAAATAATAGAACGGCCAACCTTTCCATAAAGCGGTGATCCCTTCAGTTTTCACTAAAGTCGTAGCCACATCCACCATGCCCGAATATTCCGGCTTGCCGTCAATTATTTTCTGTTGTTGAATTCTATACAGAATAAAAATAATAATTCAATATTCAACTGTTATACAATTATAACATAATATATAATAATATCGTTCATTATTATCGTGGTGGTCTTGGCATGATTATTTTTTTAAGGGGGCTATAACCCTAACAAAATGATTTATATAGATGCATAAACATTAAGCACATATCTATTAGTAATTTAATTCGTATCTGTACGCAACGATAAATCATTGCTAAAGCAAAACGATTCTAAGCGAAGTACGGTTACACACCATGTTTGCAAATTCCGTAATTTGTACGTTTTTCATTAAAATTTGATCTTAAAATGCTTATAAAAAAAACTAATATACATTACGTTCAACTTTTTCTTTTTTTCATTATGTTAAACTTATAACGAACGTCTTAATAAAATGTTAAGCATTCCGATCAAACAATTTTATTCATGTCTAACACCAAATAGTAACTAAAAATACTCAAAAATGACAAACGATTATGAGGTTATATGAATAGGTAGTTAAAAGCTGAAATGTTTTGAAATCTGTACTACTTCTAAAAAGTGCTAATATTCTAATTGTAGTATTCTGTGAAAACTGCAGGTCTCTATGATTATTTTAAACCGAATTACACACGAAAACAAAATCGAGAAAAGAGCTTCAGCACTAGTTTTGGAAATTGCAAAAAAATGTACAATATGTATTAGGCTTTTGATATATTTAGTACGTATTTATAAAACGAAAGTAACAAATATATTTCTTTCTGCATGGCTATTTTTCAGGGGGAGCTGCAAGATAATTAATGTCTTATTTGGCGGAAGGGCGGCTGTAGGAACTGTTGGAGAACTATAATTCCCACCCATTTTACGCCTATGGCGTGGAGCACAAATAGTCCTACCTGGTTTTAAACACGTCCATTGGATTCGAACACACCGAATACATAATACCGGAAACCATGCTCGATAAAGTGTGGAGTTTTAGACCTTCTTCCATGTTTTCTATTGAAACCAAAACATTTTCACGATCATCAAAATATATTTACTATATTATAATATTATTGATATCGATAATCACTCACGGTTATCTTTGAGATATTTTTTAGCCGTGTCGTACGACATTAGTTGTGTTACGTTCGCCACCATCGCTCTGTTCACGGTCACCACGGTACCCCTCCACAAGCCTTTGACGCCCTCGTCTCTATGTATTTTATGGAGAGCGTCAAACACGTGTTTGTAGTTACGTCTGCTTTCCGGAGGCAAACGTCCGTCAGCCGTCATTCGTACCACAGCGATCTATACAATATTTATGATTATCTCTTAACGGTGATAAAAATATAGGTATACCTATATATAGGTACTTATTTAAGTACAATGGTTAATTCATGGAAAAACGGGTAGTTTAGAGGTCATTAATATTCCCGATAGTTTATAAAAAATTAGCATTCCTTAAAAAATCTCTCCGTATTACCTTGTCGGAAGCTTTGCCCCCATTCCCCCAAATTGTCCATCTCGAAATTAATGTTATCGCGAATCAACTATCGATCAAGACATAAGATAAAAAGGCGAAATAGAACAAGAATTCTTCTCTGTGATGCGCAGCGGTCGAATAATAATTTATGATACATACATAAAAACATTATTGGCAATAAATATAAATATTGAAAAGAAAAGGTTTGTGGGGATATTTATTTATTGCGAGAAAAAAATTACATTTACAAAGACTGCGTACAATACATATAGGTATACTATAATATTATAACAGTCGTTTGCAGTGGATAGAGGAGAGGAAGGGAGTTTTCCAGGTTATATCTCTCCTAATTTTTTTAAAAGTACAGCGACTATTAACATTTATTTAGAAATTTAATCTCGAAGTATACAATTATATATTTCAGACAAGTTTCAAGAAGATGCTTGATTTATTGAAGACAAATAAATGTCCTTTTTGGTTTCGTCGCTTCGAATTCCCACTTTCGGATTAGATATATAAAAAAACCTAACCTAACCGTTATCCTCTACTACACATTCCACCCCATTGGAAATGTTTGATCCAGCCATTAGTCATATGAGTACAGTCTAATAATTGTTTTACGTTTTTTGAGAACGTATGACGATTTTATAATATTTTTCACTACTGTACTATGTAGTAACAGGGAATATTATATTTTCGAAAGTGCTTCAAGTTTGAGTCGAGGGCCAATCGATCCAAGTAGCAATTGAAACACAGTTCCCCCAGAATAGAGCACCGTCTAAGTGCAGCTAGGTACATTTAGGTAAGTTTTCGATAATATCAATCGCGGCTGCATAAAAACACGCAAGTAGTTTTACAATATAATATTCTGCAATTAGACTTATATAGTATGATGATACTCAATTGCAATTACATCGGTCGGTGTTGCGATTACTGCCGCCATAGCCCCCGCTGACATACTGACAATCGCGTTGTTGATTACGGTATCCTGTCCATGTCTAGAACACAATGTCGTATCGCCGCGCGATTATATTTAATAATATAAATTAACTTATAACTTAATAACATATTTTGATTTGGCGTAATAAAAAGTATTTGAAAAAAAAAAAAACAAGTTAACAAATAAATAAACTATAATTCCATATGGAATTTTGAAAGAATTCGTAATCTAATATCATGCTATGCGAAGAAAACTATAAATAAATTACATACATTAAATAATTTGTAAATAGTTGACAAGAAATTTTAGATTATGAGTGGAGCGAAGAAGCTTAGGGTTTTACAAAAATGTTTATTTTTTTTCCGTGGACTTTAGAAAAGTCGTTTTTTGATTTTCTCCGGAGTTTTCTATACAAATGTGAAAAATCGAAAAAAACGGGAAAATGTAAGAAATGGTAGGTATTAGATAAAAAAATATTATGACTTTCTTTTTTCCCGTGGACAACATTTCTACCGGTAACTAGTTTTGTACGTTAAAAAGGTAATTTCATAATTTTTTTCAGCTTTTTACATAATAAGTGGGAAAAACCGGGTAAAACATGGGGGAAACCGGGAATAACGGGTAAATAGGTCCAACGTTAAACAAATTTTATTAAAAACAATATTATTAAAGAAAATATATAATGCATATGCAATGATTATTTTACCATAATATGACATACATATTGTTGGCAAAACAATAGTATTAACCAAATTCCGTTCAAAATCGTTTTTCGTTAGCAGTGATTAATTGTTGCGTACAGATATGCATACAATTTCTCTTCTACTTTCCTAACTTCTCACCTATAACAGTGGCACAGCCGCGAGCGAAATATATCCGTCTTTTTCGATATTTATTGCTTTCAATAACTTTTTGTTGATGACGTTTAGTGGAAATTAACATATAGGTATCTATAGGTAGAAAGTTTTTTTTTTTAATTTTAAATTAATTAAGTAATAATTTCAAGATTGTATAATGTTAGTAGTATTCTAAGCCATTACGTATCTCTATGAGTAATGTTCAAAAGTCTCAGACAAAATTTAAGATTAATTCATTAGTTTTAAAGATCACTGATAAAAGTGTATAAAAGTGTAGATACCTATAAGGGGGATGGTAAACTCTTACAAAAGTTGGTAATCTTCTACATTGATATAGTGTTAACTCCTACAAAAAATAGTGTTAACTCTTACAACAGATAATAATAACATCTAAAAAATATAGTGTTAAAACCTACATTAGATAGTTGTAAAAAGTAAAATTAGGTATTTTTAAATAAATAAAAATCAGTCATAAACTACAAAAATCAAAAGCAAAATATTATAATACAATGTTATTTTTCTAGTTATAAAAATAAATAAAAATCAGTCATAAACCATAAAAAAAAAGAGATAATACTGGGGTTGGGAGTGGCCACTGTTGTAGGTGAGAAGTTGGGAAGATAGGATACATAAGGTTATTTCATTTATATCTGTAAGCAACGTTAAACCATTGCTGACGAAATACGATTCCGAGCGCAGTTCATAATTCGGTAATACATAGTTTGAAAAATCGTAATTTTTTTTCGTGATTTTCGTTTAAATTTGATTTCGAAACGTGGATTACAAAAAAAAAGTTGACCGATAATTTTGAAAATTTCACCACGTTTAGGTAAGTCTAATATAAGTTTTATTACCAAGTTTAAAGTCTCTATGTGTATTTATAACCAAATAACAGCAAAAAAAAGCAATTGTACATCATGTAGACTAAATTGACAAAACGCAATGATAACATTTTTAAATGTTGAATTTAGGCATCATACTACAATAGAATGTTAGGTAGCTCACCTATTTAATATGTTATATTGATGTTACTATTACTTATTGAGTAGGTATATAATCTCACTTTTTTAATTTTTCCGAGAGCGTAGTGTACGTTCCTATTCGGGTAGACGTGAATACGAGTTGTCTGGTGAAATTGGCCGTGATGCCACCATAAAAACCAGAAAGTTTTTCTTTTTTAGCCATATTCACGATTGCCTGGAACGAATTTTTATGGTCCACAGTGGAACCTTTCTCGCCGCTCAACTGCATACGAAATTTGAGCACTTCCAGCGGATGGACGAAAACCGCCGCACCCATCCTAATATTGCGTGATTACATAATAATAACAACAGTTATAGAAAACAATTATCGAAATTGTCCTGTGTATTAGGTGTTAAATGTATTAGGCACCCGGAAAATCCGGCTATTAAGCAATTTGCGAAAAACGGTAAACTTTGTTTCTTCTTTTCTTCCGGCATGACGTTATCGGTCCAGAACGCACAACAATATAATAGGTAGGCACCTAATATTTTTGCTCAATGACAGTAAACATTTGCACAAACACACTTGCAATACTATAATTTTCGGTACACAAAACGCCAAAAATATTTTGTAACGATATCAAAGTAGGTTTGCAATCATTATTATAGTTTATAAATAGTCACATCGCTAGGCAGTATAATTTATTTTATTAGTATCGGCCAACATTTCATTGTTTCGATTTAAACACTTCGTTTACCGCGCGTATGGAACATCAAATACTGAAATAGGTAGTTGGGTATATATAGTGGCAGAGACCTAAAATACTAACCCGTGTAATGTTATAAATGTTTAAGAAAATTGACTAAAATGAAATGTGTGCTAAAATATTACCTAAATGGTCTCAAACTTTGAGGATAATTTTTTTTTTCATTATTCGGCACAAGATACCGGTGGATGCTCGAAAGAAATTTTTAAATTGGTATTTATTTCACGCGAAATTGTTTGACCAAACATAAATGCTTGAAATTTAACATGAGGTTCATTTTAAGTCATATTTTTTGGTAAAGAAAAAGAGTTTAGTTTAGTTTAAGAGTAACGAGTTTAATGGCGTTTTAATATTTTAACGAAAATCGTAAATACTGCGATTTTACTGCGTATTCACTATCGTAAATGCCTTTCGAAACGCGTATAACCGAACTCCGCACAGAATCTTTTTTCGTTAGCAACGATTAACCGTTGCTTACAGATGTACAACAAATTGTCCACTATATCCCGTCTTCAATACTTCTCACCCACAACCGTGGTCCGCCCATCGTCCGAAGTTTGTCCGTATTTTTTTTTCCCTTGTTTTATCTCGAAATTTAACCATTATAAACGCGTTAACGGGTGTCTCGTGCCAGTGACGGATCCATGTAGGGGGTACGGCGGAGGTAACATAACCCATTTACTCTCCAATATACCATTGTATACCAGCATTAAACTCTTATTAGCTTGATTCATCATTGAGCCAAACGAGTACGGGTAATTCACCCGGTGTATTACAATTTATAATGTTCGGTTATATAGTGACTATATATTCCTACGTAATAATTTTCGACGAGTACTAGTTTTTTATTATTATTTTTTTTTTTTTGTACGCCCGAGTACGTAATCTCCATTATATCTGTATACCCGTTGCACACGAATGACGGACATTCCGTCGCAGTTATCTGTACCTACCCATGTGTATAACAACGCCCTTGTAAATCCAAACCTAATCGATCAAGGGGAATACGATATTTACGAACCGATAAGATCGCGTTCGCCGATAAAACAGTACGATCCGCGGCGCGCATACAACTCGTCGAAAACGGAATAACGGATAATATATTTTAATACGCGCGCGCGCGTTATAATATATACACAGGAGGTACGTGTGTGCCAGCTATTTTCCTTTGAAACGGTCGATTCTTCTTCGTCTCACCCTCTCTCTCTCTCTCTCTCGTTCTCTCTCTCTCTCCGCGTCTCTCTTATGGGCGTTAATAATAATAATAATAATAATATTAATAATAATACGGGTATGCCGCGTACACCGTACACGTGTAAAATATTAATTTCCTAACGTATAATACTTAAGAAAAAAAAAATAAAAAAAAACTGTCTTCGACTCGTTATATGATACAACGCCGCCCGTGTATATTATAATAAATTATACGTATATATATATAGTGATATAGTGTATAGTATGTACACAGGCAGTGAAAACAGCGGCGTAGGCAATTAAGACGTCATTTTTTTTTTTTTTTTTTTTT